CTGGGACTACAGGTGTGCGCCACCACACCCAGCTAATTTTTGTATTTTTTGCAGAGACAAGGTTTCACCATGTTGGCCAAGATGGTCTCGATCTCTTAATCTCGTGATCCGCCCGCCTCGGCCTCCCAAAATGCTGGGATTACAGGCGTGAGCCATTGCGTCCAGCCAGAACAGAAGCTTTTAATAAATAAGAGCTCTAATATTTCCTTCCTGCATGCCAATGGATAGTCTTGTACACTCCCAGAGTACATGAACCCCACTTTGGGGGCACTAGTTTAAGGTTCAGGCAAAAGTGTACGTGAAACCTTGAATTTTGCTTCACTATCACAGCTGAAATGATTCCCAAAAGACATACTATGCTCCAATGTCTGAACTAGCAATATGGGCAAAGAAAAAAAAAAAGAAAGAAAGAATTTCTTAGAAATCTACATTTGCCTGTAGTTAAGCAATACTTTCTCTGGTAATAAATTTGAATGAGGCAAGCACAGGCCACCCTGGGGGTAGTAAAAAGATTTCAACTCATGTGCCAAGTTTAGTTGGCAGGTAGCCACTGCCTGGAAAGCTCTGCTGAGAGGATGCCAAGCCCATGTCCAGGGAAATGAAGCAAGATGATCAACAATAATGTTGTGGCTGGTATACATGCCTACTACTGCTACCACCATGCTAATCAGATCTCGGCCACTTACAGCTTCATCCCACCACGCAGTGCCTTCTACTCACGTTCCACATCGTGCTTTCTATAAACTAGGCTTGACACTGCCTTCTCAGCAGGTGGCACTCAAGCTCAGAAGCAGAAGCGGACCCAGGTGATCACAATGAATTAGATGGAACAAACTCACACTTCTAAATGGCTGTCTCCCACGTGTAACCACACTCAAGAATTTTTTCTCTCTTATGAAGTGCAATGGACTGGCAAAGAAAGGCAGTGGGTTCTGGTCAGCTCTTACAGTTTGGTTGATGCTCTAGTGAATATGAAACTGTTAATGATCTCTTCTTCTTCTTCTTCTTCTTCTTCCTCTTCTTCTTCGTTTTTTTTCTTCTCCTCCTTCTTTCTTCTTCTTCTTTCTTCTTCTTCTTCTTTCTTCTTCTTCTTTCTTCTCCTTCTTCTTTCTTCTTTCTTCTTCTTCTTTCTTCTTCTTTCTTCTTCTTCCCTTTTCTCTCCATCCTCAAGTTAGCTCGGACTCTAATAGCAAAGTGGATCCAGATTCTAAGATACATGTTGGATTCTGAATATACAACTTCATTTGGGGAAAATTTGTGAAAGGAAAATGGAGACTTAATACATTCCTGCAGAGGTCATGTTTGGTAGCATTTCCTACGTAGAAATGGGTGGAATAAGCACCACAGAACACTTATATGGCCACTATGTACATGATTCAAAAAGAAAGCTGAGTCAAGCAGATCATCAAATTACCAGGCACGTGACTTACCTCAGAGGCAGTAGGACGCAATAGCGCACTATGACGCCCAGCACCCACACCATAGTGAGCCGCAGACTGATGTACTGGAAATTTACATTGGTTCTTGTGAGGAGATTCCATGACACTAGCTCCTCTGAGGAAAACCTCTGGGTCACTTCATCTTCCACAATGGCTTCCAATCCCTTCTTGGAGAAATAAAACACGTCAGACAGCTCAAAGTCCCTTCCTCGTAGACCAGAGAGCCCTTTTTCCATGGGTGACTCATCTCTTTGGATAATACCTTAAAAGAAAGCATCAGGACATAAGAAAATGCCATAGGACAGAAGAATTGACCAAAGTGGCAACTTTAACTGTGTAGAAGTTAAATATGCAAAACAAGTAAATAAGTTTAATGGGTGACATCAGCCATCTTCAGAAGTAAGAGACAAACAATTGCAGTGGGAAAAGAGGTGAAATCACTATGTCTGCATGAAATGGTCTCTACCCCATGATCTTTGTTAATTATAAACAGGAGTTTTGGTCCTCCATAATCCTCTTGCTTGGATTTCTTCCCTGTGTACCATTAGCCAAAGAACTCATGCACACAAAAATAATTCTCCCCAAGTATAGCTCTAGGTTGTGTAAAAACAAAGACTTCTGTTCTCCCTGACAAAAACCATAAAATCAAAAAGCAAGCAAAATGGCAAAAGATTTACTGTAAATGGCAAAAAGTTGATTTTTTTTTTTTTTTTTTTTTTGAGATGGAGTCTTGCTCTGTCGCCTAGGCTGGAGTGCAGTGGCACGATCCCGGCTCACTGCAAGCTCTGCCTCCCGGGTTCACGCCATTCTCCTGCCTCAGCCGCCCGAGCAGCTTGGACTACAGGCGTCCGCCAAGGCACCCAGCTAATTTTTGTATTTTTCATAGAGACAGGGTTTCATCGTGTTAGCCAGGATGGTCTCGATCTCCTGACCTCGTGATCTGCCTGCCTCGGTCTCCCAAAGTGCTGGGATTACAGTGAGCCACCGCACCCAGCCGATTTTTTAATATATGAAAATTATTTAATAAGAAAAACACAGTCTTCTGCATAAAAGTAAGCAAAGTTCACAGAAACAAAATAAATATTAATAGTTAATATCACAGAACTTTTCACTAGTGAAAAAAGAAATGTGAATTAGACAAAGGCCTATTTATAGTAGCAAATCAGCAGCATTTTACTCAATGATAAAATTCAATGACTTGAAAGACACAGGTACTCTCATATTCAGCTTGTACAAGTATGGAAGTAGTAGCAACTTGGTCAAAGTTGGTTTGGCATGAAAAGACTGAAGATAATTTTGCTGATGATCAGTAACTCCAATTCTGGGAATCTGTCATCAGAAAATAATTAGAAATGTAGGCAAATGTAGGCAAGGGTGTTCCCTGTAGCATTCTTCATTATAATTAATCCACACAATGATATAAAATGCATCCATTACTAAATACTATAATGTTAATCAAGAAAAGACAGAATCTAAAACTATAGCTTCACTCTATGAACTACTATACATAGAAAAAATGTCAAAATGAAAACATTAAGTAGTTATTTCTAGAAAATAGGATTAGATTTTCCTCTCTATACTGTTATTGTATTTTCCATCAAGAAAATAATCCAATGATTTTTAAAGCAGCATAAATTTTTATGAATTGAAAAATGACTACTGTCATTCAGTTCTAACTACTAAGTACAAAAAATGAGAACGTCTTCAAAGAATAAAGAGTAACTACATACACAGTCATATGATCATTCTTTGCTTCCTTTGGGGTGTATCACAAAAGGTTACTTCTGACATTAGACTACAAAGAAAAATACTTTCTTTTGAGATAGTGATTAAGATGTTAAATTTCCTGAAAGAAGATCTTTTTTGATCACCTCATTTTCCAGTTTACTAGGAAATCAATGAGGAAAATGGACAGTGCTGTATTACCTATCCCCAGGAAGAGTTATATGTGTATCAGTAGAAAGAGCTGTAATAGTCCAGTTTTTGGAAGGACTAATACTAGAGGAGAAAGGAAAGAGGACCTGGAGTCAAAAGCCAAGTCCTGTTTAGGACAACCTCCAGCTCCATGACTGATGTCTTTTATAAACTGAGAGAATGGAAACAATTTTAGTTTTCTTACAGGGCTAATGTTTTATGATTTTAGGTTTGGGATATATGGGTATTTTGGAGTTTGTTTTTGTCCCACATGCAAAGTTTATACCTAGTCACCTTAAGAATTAGAGCAATAGGGGCTAGGCATGGGGGGTCA